ATTTTATTACTTCGTTTGTTTTGATTTTACGTTACACCTGATCTTGTAATGTGATTGGTCAAAAATCACGTGATTGCGCTCTCCCATTCGCCACCACTAAGTTACTAATAGCATTAATTCTCATATCGCTCCCTTATTTGTGAATTGATTAAGATTGGGTGGCAAATTATTGTAATTATTATTATATTACAGTATTATTATTTTAGATATACATGAATAAAAATTATAAAACAAGCGAGCATGTAAGGGTTTTATTAGTTAATGTAGGGCTGAATCTGAGATTGGGAAATGCTAAATTTATATATGAAGTGCTAAATTTATATATGAAATTTTTAAAATTATTTAGGTGCATTTTTTTGAATTTTCTCTTGAATATAAGTGTATTTGATAGTTTATAAGATTTAAATAGAGCCCTCAAATCTCAGCTTGAGCCAATCTAAGCATTAACCGCGATTAATATAACACCTTTAATAACTCTTAATAATATCTGCTACAAGAAAGACCCAAATAGATATTACACTCGGATATTTCCTGACACAACATTTTATTTCTCGACTAAATATAGTACTAAAGGTAATATATTACGATTTCTATTCATATAACAAGACTGTGTAATTTTTACTAAGAAAACCAAAATGATTCATTATTTAGGAACCTGATTTTTTTTAGCAAGTATCTCATCCCGATAGTATTCGATTATTCATGACGATATATACTCATTTATTTGAATTTAAATGTTTAACATGTTACTTTGCAAAAGTAAATGATAAAGATTTATCAGTTCAGGTACTGTCATATTCTAAAGCGCATTAATTAGTATCCACATTTATTCAATTGAATTACATGTCTACGATATTTTTTTTTTTACAATGGAAGCAGAATGAAACTTGTCTTTCGACTTGGACCAGAAATAACGGAAGAATGAGAAAAGTGGCTAACGGTATAATACTATTATTTGATTAGATTTTTGAAATTTTATTTATCATTATCTCATACAAAATGGTCTGCTAGAAGCTAAGAAGGATGCGCACAAGCTGTTTGTTTCTTATCAAATATCCGCTGATATGGGAAATTCTAGTGGAGCATTTCAAGCTGGTGCCTGTTATCAAAATGGATTTATGGTTGAAAAAGATGAAAATAAAGCAATTATTTATTTTCAAAAATCTATAGAGATATGTTATGCTTTTAGAACGAATATAGTTGATTATAGACTCAAAATTAAAAAAGACAAGTATAAGGCATTTATTCATCAAAAATCTGCCGGGATAGGATCCGGTCAACATATTAAGTTGGCCATTGCTATAAAAATGGAGTTGAAATTAAAAAAAATGAACAAGTTCTTTTACGAAGCATTTGCCAAAAGACAACGATTATATTCATCCTGTCTTTTTATGCGATGTGATATCAAAAAACATTCACATTGCCCAAATACTACCACTTCGAATTAAACTACTACACGCTTTTATTGAGGATTTGTGATCAGCAATACATTCGCTAACCTTTTTACAATATAATTTATTATAATATAATTTTTATTATTTATATTACAGTATTATAACATAATCCTCGAAGAAACTCTATAATAAGCCATCCAGAGCTTAATGCTATTTTATACACAATTAAAGAATCTAATAGTATATACAACTCACTCTCGTTATAATAAATCACCAAGAAGAAAAATCTTCACTGTAACTTCACTATATCAATTCTATCACTATAGCGAGAGTAAGTTGTAATTGCTCGCTCAAACTAAAAACATGAGGCATTTATATTGTCGCAGCTAGCTGTAAGATAGTACATGATATATGTACTTTTCAGCGTACTTTAGGAATGTTAAACAACCGTCGATTCTCAAAAGGTCTTTTTTTAAATTAGTCCAGAAGCTAGTTCGCAAATCTTAGTCTGAAACCAGGCCAGTCCTAGAAGTTTAATGTTAGCTTAATATACAGAGTATGATACTAACGTGTTGATATTAATTACATACTGAGTGTCTATATTAAATTAGATTTGTAGCAAAGAAAATTACTCTCGAGATGTAACTTTAATATGCATGCGTAATCGTATTATTCTTAAATTTTATTGGTTATCAAATGACTGACTCACCCCACATCTGTGTTACCTGAATTTTTGTGGTGCGTCAAAATAAACAGTAATTCCAAAAATATGCGCATATGTTAAAAATCCCAGCAGCATTATATCTTTTTTTATATCAGATTTAATATTACTATCGTTGACGACTATAATGTTTTTCTTTTTTCAAGTTTATCAATAATCTCAACAGCCGTGGTCTATTTTGCATATCTGAACTAGATCAACTTTGCTAAAATCGTTCATTTTTGCGATAGTGTCAAAATGTTATAAAATTAGCAAAATTCAATAGTATTATAGGATAATATAAGCAAAGTGAAAAAGTTTTTAATATAAAATTGCAAATGTAGTTTCTTGCTGGACTTTTACTAGATAATCATAAATAACCACATTAGGCTTTTAGTATTTTTTATGTTTTGTTAAAAATTTCTATGAATTGTTCGATAAACAAAAAGCATTTTACAAAATTTTATAACGCTATTATAATGATTACAATTACTTTATAAAAAATTGATGCTATTCGAATAAAATAAAATACATTAACTGCATGAACAAACCACCATTACAATCAAGTTTTTTTTTAAAACAACTTAATTACTTGTAAGAATTTAGTGGTTATAAATACTCATCATTTTCCTAACGCTAAGAGTTTTTGTAAACAATATCAATAAGCAAGTATAGTTATGATCCTCAGTAACAAGACTACTACGAGGGCATGGGACACGTTTATCGATTTTGTTATCTTTAGTTAGAACGAAAGCGAAAGGTAATTTTTTTCTTATTTTTTCATGCTCTTTTATATAATAACATTTGACTCTAAACTAATTACACCAATTACATCATTGTTACCATTACATCAATTTAAATTACCTATTCATTTTGATCCATGGTACACGTGATCATGACACCATTCGAACTTTACGCGAAACCAAGAGATAAGTATTATTACATTTCAACTCAATTTTTTTTCATTTATTTATTAATTTTCTCTTTCATTTCAGATTCTCTTCGATTGATACGCCACGTACAACATATTTAGAGTACTAGTGTACCATATAAAATGCTGACTTGTAGGAGATTAACAATTATATATAATATATCACGAAGAATAGTATCCTCATGCTTTGGAGAATACCGGTTGGTTTAAAATACGAAAGACTGGCAAAATAGATCTCTAACCTTTGCAAATACTCGGACATAACAGTTATAAGCTTACAGTAATGCAATTAATATATAAAAATTTACATAGAACTATGAGGAAAGCAAATTATATAAAAAATTTAAATTGTACATATCAATATGCATTGTCAATATACACATTAGCACTGTCTCGTACTGTACATAAGATTTTTGTGCACTTATAAATTTACTTCTTATAGATATAAGTTGTAAATCCTGTAAGAGTTCGCATCTTTATTGTAAAAAATGCTTGTAACTTAATGTTTTGAAATTTTATAATTATTATAGTTATTTAAAGCATTTGCTCAAATAATTTATAAAAGTAATAAAAAATTATTCATTATCTGAGGATAACTCTCCACTAATTTGATTAAGATCCAATTCATTTATATAATTGCGTCGACTTGCTGATGGAATCGTAATGTGAATAGTGAGTTGATCAAGTTTCTTAATTTTTGCTAAGACGTCTTCAATATAAGAAGGTTTTTCTTTATTACGAAATGCAATTTGATATTCAACATGAATCTTTAAACTTTCAGCAACGAAGCTTTCGAGAGATTTGATTGAAAATAACTTTTTGAATTCAGAAAAGTCACTAGCATCAAGGTATTTACTAAGCTTTTGACGCCAGACTTCCCCAGCAATGAAGTGCTCAAAATTTTCATCCGTTGGATCACTAAAAAAAAAAAAATTTTAAAAATTATATTTAATAATTATTATTATAACATTAATGCTGTATATTACCAATTTTTAACTAAGAAATCCTTGGCAAGGGCTGCTATGTCTTTATTAAATATATGTCGAAAATTGTCGAAATATTTCACGTGTCTTTTTGTATAATATCTTAAATTCTTTAGAGACTGAATCTGTTGATGGGGTAATCTTCTTAATTAGCATTTCACGCATTGTCTTAGTAGGATTTCGTGTATGTAAAAATAGAAGCTTGCACTGTTCTGTAAGTAAATTAGTTATAGTTTCTTTATCCATAGGTTCTGAAATATTAGCTTCAGTCTAATAATATTATGTAGTTAGATTGTATAACATATTATAATTGAAGATTACTCAATTATTAAACAAACCTCGTATGACAAAGTTGTTGATAGTCTTCGTATTTGAGTAATTAAATCTGGTCGTGTACATAACCAATCAATTAATGATTTTTCATCTAAGAAACTTAATTTTTGTGAATTAATATCAGATTCCCAAGTAGTTATATTGCAAGAATTTGCTGATGATGATATATGTTGTAATTGTATATTTTGGGTAGGAATTTTTTCTTTAGGTTGATTATAGTAACTTTGGGAATTTATGTTGGAATTCCAATTAGTATTGCGAGAACTTGCTGGTGAATATGATGCATTTCGAAATTGTGTATCGGGTCTTGAAATCTTCTCTTTATAATAATTTTGTTGAAATAAAAAAGCTTCCTGATTTGAATCATTTGTTACTTCATAATCAACTAAAGATTGCGAATCTGGCATTTCGTCTAATGACATAGTGGTTGCTCGTGACAAACTTCGATACTGTTCTTCTGGTGCAATAAAATTTCTGATAGCTGCAGATCGATATTCAATACTTGCATTGTGGAATAAAGATGAAGCATGTGCACCTTCATTTAATGGTTCAGTAATATTCAAATTACAAGGTACTGGATCGATATTGCTTGATGATCTTGGATAGTTTATATATCCTGTTGATGTATAAGTATTAGCCAAGTCTTGGTTTTGTCGATATGGCCAAGTTATATTATTAGCTGGCATAGTATTGTTTAAATTAATTGGCTCAAACGGAATGCGAATAGATTCATTAAATTCTTTTTTTAAAAAAAAAGAAATATAAAAAATTTAATTTAAATAAATAAATTGAAATTTTACAAAAAATATTACCGTTCTTATTAGATATTGTTTTTGAGCGTTTGTTAGACGCGGTTCTTGATTTAGAATTTTTTTCTTCAGAAGATTCTAAAAATAATTATTAATATCATAGTATTGTTATTAAAGAATTTCATAATCGTAAACACTTGCCAGCAATCTCTTTTTTCTTTGCGTTTTTCTTTCTCATTTTTAACTTTAATATATTTTACATTAAAGTCAAAAAACTTTTATATTTATATATATTTTAAAGCTTATCATGATATAATCACTGATGATATCAAAATAATTTTTAATATAAATCGTAAGTATTTTTTTTTTTTTTTTTAACAGTACTATATCTCTATGTCTCGACATCGGCTTCAAAATTTGATAAATTCGAAACTTCACAGTTTCGTTTAAGGGCATCTAAAATTTCAAAAAACTTATCTTCCAATCAAGAAGATAGTTCTTCAACAGATTTATATAATTCTAGACATAACTTATCTTCTAATCAAGAAGATAGTTCTTCAATGGATTTACATAATTCTATATATAACTTATCTTCTAATCAAGAAGATAGTTCAACGGATTTACATAATTTACAAAAGAATGATTATTTATCTTCTAATCATGAAGATATTTCAACACATTTACACAATTCCACATTACAATATAATGCTCACGACGTTAGTATTGATGAATTTGATTATAACGATTGGAGTGATGACAATTTAGATTGGAATAATATAGACTGGAATAATATACGATATGAAAATCAAAGCTGCGATACAGATATAGAAAGCGAAACTTCCAATAAAACAGTTTCTACTAATCTTGACGATGATTTGCCAGAAGTATTTGATGGCACAAAATTGGATTTAACATGGAATCAGGACTGTCCGTTTGGTGTTTTTGAAAACTTTACAACTATAGTGATATTTATATGGGTTACGAAACATATGATATGTAAGCATTTTGTTTAAATTTTAGTTTTTATTTTATTTTATTTTAAGAATATATATATTTATTTGCTCTTTTTAGCAATGGCTGCTTATCAAGACTTAGTTCAAATTTTGCTCCATCCTCAATTTGAAAAAACCATCTGATTAATAATTTACAAAAACTTAAAAAGTATCGTGAAAGATTACCCTTAATGCGAATTCAAAGTCATGAAGTTCCAATAAATAATCGTAATACACCATCTACAGCTAAAAGCACCACAAAAGCTTATTATTTTTCTATAATTGAATATCTTGAACGTATATTAAAAAATCCTATTCTTAGCTCTCAATTATATTTTGGGCCGGGGGTTTTTTCTAAGTCATGTGAAGAGTTTTGGGAAGGAAATCTTTGGGCCGAATCGCCCCTTTTTGGCCAAACTGAGATAATAACTTCACAAGGTATTTACTAAAACATAATATATAATAATAAATTAGATATAACGAGTACGTATATATGAACTTGTTTGTGCTAAAAAAGTTTTATATTTTTAGGTTTATTCAAATGTAGTGAATTTGTTCAATACAATTTTCATAATGCTTTGGAATATGGATGAATTCAATCACTTGTAATTCAAAATAACGTGTTGTAAGTTCAAATACAAAAATTACTTCCCTATAGCAAAATTCCACAATATTTGCATTCAAACAAACATACATTACAAGCTCAGCAAGACTGGTTTTTAGTTAAAAAACCAGATTCTTTTATTATTGAACCATCTTTTTTAATTCGAAGGATCATAGTTTGGCTTAAAGATCAACAACGACCACCTTTTTTTGATTTGTCTGTTAATGAAATCTTATATTATTTTAACGGAAATTGGAAAATCCGCCCTATTAAACTTCGGAACCAACATCCCGCTGAATATCTATCAGTAAACCCACCGCCTAATCCATCTATGCCAGTCTTAAAATTTTTTTTAGACTTGTATTATGATGACTTTGGAACATTTCGCAATGTATATCACTCATTGGGTGGTATTTATTTGCAAATTAGTAACATGTCACGTCGAATAAGAAAGCAATTACGTAATCACTTTGTTATTGGTTTTGTACCTTTTGGAGGAGATATTAGAGATTTTATTAAACCTTTGCTCAAAGAAATTGAAAAACTTGAACATGGATTTATTATGAATTTAAATGGAATTGATCATTGGATAATAGGTGGATTGGGTGTTTTTACGGCAGATATGCCTCAGGGAAATGATATTGCTAGAACATTATAACATAATGCGCAATGAGGGTGTCGAGCATGCAAAGCAACTAAAGACCAATTAACAGATCTTTTATTTGATATATATTATTTTAGCCGATTTCATCAAATAACAGATCAAGAATTCCAACATATAAGTCAACAAACTTCAAATAATGCAAAATCTAAGCTTTGTACTCAATATAGATTATGATCTCTGCCTGGAGCTTTAGATCCATTATTACATGATCGTCATCTGCATACACCGCAAGATGCATATCATGCAGTTGCCAGAAAAGTAGCTCGATTACTTGATTGCATGTGTTCAATTCTAACAACATATGGAGAAAATAATTTAATTCGTTATTGGAAAAGTATTGAAGTCCCAACACAGTGGTCTCGTTTACCAAACCCAATTACTCATAGATGCTCATTTATGATGTCTGACAATTTGAGAATTCTTATGATCTTTCCATTTATACTAAACCGATGTTTAACCGTTAACTGTATTAAGGAAGATTACTTAAAATCCACATGTGATAGATTATACTTTTCTCATAGATCAGAAGTAAGAGATTATATCATTTATACTTGGGCACTTTCTGCAAAGGCAGCCAAAAAAGTATTTTCATTAAATATACAACGATATGATGGATATTCTAATTTGCAAACAATATTAAATGATGAGCTTATTGCTTTGACTAAGGTATTATATAACCTAATATTTAATTATTATTAATAACACTAAACACGCCAGTAGTATTCAAAATCGCATATATTTCTTAATATATAGTTTTGTTAGTAAAATTCAGAGTTAGGGAACCTGAACTATAATAAACGTATAGGTTTAAATTTTAGTTAGGAAACTGTGATATTGAATATCAATGGTGTGATTTAGTAAAGCTATTAATTATTATTCAATAATAAAATATATATTTTGTTATAAGCTTTTTCCAGACAGTTTTCAAAATCTTCCTAATTTATATGTGAACCGTCATTTAGTAAATTATGCGCGCCAATATTCAACCTGTATAAATACAGCTGTCGGTATAAAAGAGATGGTACATAGAATATTCAAAGCGATGGTGCCACATACGAACAAACATAATCTGGAACTTACTTTATTACGACAAGTCAACACTTTACAAACATTACGGTATCTTGCTGATGGTGGAACAGACATTTGAATGCCTCATTATTCTACACAATCCATTTTTATGTCATTAATTACAACATCCCGACTTTGTAATTTATTATCTGGCTGGTGCATTAATAATTATAGATTGTCAATACACTGCTTAGATAATACGTCAGATGTCGAAGGTAAAAATAAATACTTTTTTATTTATTTGTTTACAATACTTACAAATATTTAAGTTTTTAGATAATTCGACGATTATTACTAATTCTGAACTTTTAATTGCTCAGAAATCAAGTTAGGACTAAAATGGAATAGACATCAGATTGAAGCTGCAGGATTCATATCAAGTGATATTCAAACAAATGGATTACATAAAGATATTATGAATGCATACACATCATATTATTCATTAGAACAAGCTCTATTAAATACACGAGTTTACTCTTATAAAAATGCAACATATACAATATCTAACTCAAAT